GAGTTCAGTTTGCATGATTACATTACACTTAGAGCCTATTATCCAATCAGAGCTAACCTCCTGGAACCAAAAGTACCAACTGTAGCATTCAAAAGTAAAAAGGTCTGTTTGTAACCCAATTTCAGTTTCCATTTATCGTGTGACGAGCCGCTATTTATTTATATAATGTACATTATAATTGAGGCAGTGCAGACAAGATTTTGGACTCTTTCTGCACGTTTCAAAAGAGTTGTGAAAACACATGCCATTTCATTAACGCCATGCCCAAAATAAAACCTGTCTCCTTCATTTTGATGCCTTCACCAATGAGCTGCTAGGTTTATTCTATCTCTTCTGCTGCCTAAATTAGGCTGTGACTGCACATTCCCTCTTGGAATAAATTGAATTAAATTTTATAGTGTGCGTGTGTGTATATATATATTTTTCACACACAGATTGATATGCAGACCTAACTCTACAGAGACCTATGGAGGAGATATGAAACTTCGTATCAGTCTGGTAGCTTGGTTCAGACGTACTTGTATAGAAGGCTCAGTTGATAGGACAATTCAGTAATAAAATTAAGCTGGAGGGGATGCCCACCCACTCCCAAAAAGGAAAACAAAGGAGGGACTGACTTAAACTAAACTGAACTTATGGAGTTACTGTGTCTCATTTGAGATCATCACACGTACTCTTAGAAGACCAGCAAGCATTGCACAATGAATACAGGAATATACTGCACCGTAGGAGAATAAAAAAGGAAAAGTCAGCCTGATTTGACAGCTGTGGTTCAACTACTCAAATGACCTCTTTCGCTGTTGGCCAGGGAAAGATGCTGGAGACAGACACACCGGTGCTCATGGTGAAGTTACCCTAGAATCTGCAGTAGGTTTGTCTTTGACTTTGTGGGGAAAGGATGAATTCCGTGAACTAAGTACATTGCCAGCCATCCTCTGGCATCGTAAGCAAGGTTTACAATAAAGGAGGCACAGTTCCATGAGGAGAGGCTACTCTCCTTCTCCCTGCTCCTGGAGGTTGACTTTTGGGAGAACTTTTCCATATTTTTGGTCAGAGGAAAACAGGAAAAAAAGGAGTATTATAAAGAGTTCTCAAAGAGACCCTTGCACATTCTGAAAGTGATGCTTTTTGCCAGTGCAAACCAGAGACATGTACATTTGTGGAGAGATCATAGAAGGTTCCTGCATGTTACTACAAAGGCAGGGGGGCCAAGTTCACCAAAACAGAAAACGCATTCCAGGTCCACAGGTTAGGAGCATGCCCATGCTTTTCAGACTACTTGCTCACACCTCTAAGAGCCTTGGAACATCTGATTTACCCATCTTGGGTAGCAATCCATCACTTGACCAAGTATCTTTTCTATGCCTCAGTGACCTTCCGGTTTTGTAGGCTTTGTATTCAACGTGATCTTCCTTTTATTTTATTTTTTAGTCGCCAAGCAACACCACACTTCTACCTTAGATGAATATATCAATGTGCTTTCAAAATACCCACCAACGTGGTCATTGAAGGAAAATAGAGCTGTCTGTAAATCTTGTGCTGGAAATCACTCTTCCTTACAAAACATAACATAAATCACACCTCTTATATTAACCTGGTGATTTAAAACTCGTGAAGTGATTTTCCAAGGGCTACAACTGGTCCTGATTATATCCTTCCATGTCAAAGAATTCATATAGATATATGGATAGAGATATCTCTATATATCTCTATCTATATATAGCTAGAGAGAGATGTAATATCCATGCATATGCATAAATATAGAAGATATCGACAGATAATTACATAGATGTTTCCATCACATATATAATCCATCTTACATTTCCTTGGTATCAGAATTCTCTGAGTTTCCCATCTCGGAAGACACGTATCTGTGGCAGTCTCTATGAAACGCCTGTGGCCTTCCTTGCAGGAAAATTTAAAATTTGATTTTTTTTTTTTCCTGGCAATGAGGGACTAGCACTGCAAATCTCACACCGTTCCCGCCCTCTCCTGTTCCGCCGGGTGTCCAAAGGGCCCTCTTTGCTGAGGACTTAAAGGATTACGACCCAGGGCTCCCGAGCACAGCCAATTCAAGGCGTGAAGTAATTCTCCACTGGCGAGCGCAGTCCCCACAGAAATGCAGATTTCTTCTCCGCCACCGGCTGGGTCCCTCAGGCTCTGCCTCGCTCTAGGAAAAACGCTAAGCCTTGGCTCTGCAGCCCGGCGCCCCTCTGCTCCGCCCCATCTGCTTCCTTCATCCCCAGATTCAGCCTTCAGATCCTGCAAGTGGAATTTGCAAATCCTGCGGGGTCCCCGCCAGGGCGGCCCGGGCTTGTCCTTCTGGGCGCCCTTCCACCTGCTGGGGCGGGCGGGGAGGGGGGGACCGGCTCCCTGAAAACTTTTTCTTTTCTTCTTTCTTTTTATCTCCCCTCCCGCACCCACTAAATCACGGGGAGACCTGACCGTGACAGGGGAGGCTGCGGGCAGCCCGTGTCACACGAACAGGTCCAGCAGCAAACGCGTTCCTCCTGTTCAAACCCTGCCCAGCCGCGGGTCCTCACACAGAAAGGCGTGGGATCGGAACCCCGGGGGCCGCCCTCTCCCCTCCACTGACAACAGACAGATAAAATAATCATAATTAAAGCAAAACACCCAAATCCTAGCAAGAGTCCATGCTACCACCTTGCGGAATCTGCAAGCA